GAGACTCGGAACACCACAGCAACCTTTCTCCACTGGATTCCCAGAAGAAGACAGGACCCATTACACCACCACGGGACCTCCAGAGGGAAACTAAGTCCTTCTATGGGATCATTGCTTCAACAGAATCGCATCTGTCACTGCAGGAGGACCGCAGCCACCATTTAACCTGATTGCTGACCAGCAGGGTGTCAGGTTGTATTCTCACTCTGTCAGTGGATGTGTGGATTTTTGTTAAAATAATACTGCATTATTTTTTTATTTTAATTTTCCTAGTAAAGAACTGTTATTGCTATTCCCATATCTTTGCCTGAGAGCCCCTTGATTTCAAGATTATAATGGTTCCAAGGTGGGGTGGTTTACATTTTTCCATTTCAAGGGAGGTTTCTGCCTTCCTTAGCAGACACTTGTCTTTTCAAACCAAGACATCAGGAAAAAACTATTTTCATCGCTTAGTCTGTAACCAAGCCTTTTGCAAATCTGTTTCTCTCCTCTTATTGAGCAAAGCAGCACAGAGCATTTGGCCAAGTTTCAATGTATAGAAGTCAGAGCTTCTGAAAGTATCCACAGGAACTGGCACACCAGGTTCCCCACTTCTGAAGGCAGAAAAGGACATGCAGGCAACAGTAAAGCACAATTCACTGGAATCATCAGCAAATCCTTGACTATATACATAAAGCTTGAATTTCTACTTTAGGCCTTTTATTTCAGTTCTGTAAAAAGTTGTTCTGACAAAAGTCTGACTTACTAACGGGGGGCTGTTCTTGTCATTACCAAGCACACAACAGAATAAGATGATATTTTTGCAGAACAGTTCCAAAGATGAAAAGTCTGCTCTTGGATTCTTACAGTTGTAAATCATTAGATTCTGCAATATGATGGCCATATTTCCACAGCTCCCAAATTAGAGTGATAGAAATTTTTCAAAAACATGTCAAAATATTTTTTGCTTAATGCTTTCTTGTGAATCTGTTTGGCCATCTTTCAAGCAGCTCTACCACATTACACTGTACAAACAGAACTAAGATATAGACCCCATCTTGCAATTCTTATTTGCTTTTAGACTTCCTTAAATAACTCCACGATAGAAATTGAATCTCTCCTGCTTCTAACTACATCTGCTCTACTAGATATCCTGTACTGGTCATGGCCCCACATATTGTCCCAATTATTGCTCACTCCTGCTGTTCCTTAGTACCCCAATAAAAAAAAAAAAAACAACAAACTAAATGCAACCCCATATTTACATGAGAAACACCTGTAAGGGAGCAAGTATACATAAGTTAATATTTGTACCAAATGCCTCACACTTTTGCCAATATCAAGAACTGAATCCTTACATGACATCTTAAATGTTTTTACTATGTTACCTGTTGATTACTCTGATACTTAATCTCCTCTAAAGACAAAGAGAAGCATTTTGTTTCTGTTCTTAGTTTCACAGGAAAAAAAAAAAATCCTCTGTATGTTAGACCCCCTTCCCCTTAACAGGTACCACCACTCCATGCTGAGAAAGCACAGCCAGTTTTAAAATTGCTCCTGCCACAAAAATTGCAGGAAACTGCCTTTTGGTGATTAGAAAAGGGACTGACTGAATACATTTCACAGCCAGGGTTAACTCTTACACGCAATTTCATCCACATAATTAATACCTTTTTTATTTTTTTACTTTTCCATATAAGTGGAACAAAAATTTCTAGAGTTGTAGATATTAGTTTCGTAAGAGCAGGAATCCTACAAAAATACATTTATATGCAAATGGGTTGGATAAACAAACCTGTATAAAAACAGTAGAAGAAAAGCACTTGGTAGAATAGAAATATCAGTGGTCATAGGACATGAGAATACAGATATTTATTCATCTGTTTTTTGCCAACTGCACACAAAACTTTCTATAATTTTTTTGTGTCTTTGCACACAGATTAATAAGTATATGGTAATGGCATTGTTTATTAAAACCTCTGAATTTTATATTCAGACACATTTGCACAGTTAGAGGTCATACCACATGAACTTGGCCAAGCCACAGTGTTGCTCTAGTCCCTCATTTACAACCTTTGAACTGGCAAATGGATAAGCAAAGACTTTCCTCTTCTGCTAATTTACTCTAGCAGGTACTTTCCCTTTCCTGCCCTGCTACACTTATGCTCAGACGTTGCTATCAGGTGCTATCAGGTTGCTACCAGGTACCCTTTACTTAAAATAAAATAAATAAATAAAAGCTGAAGTTTCTAATATTTGCAAATCCCCCATATTTCCAAACAATGTGTTTCTAAAACATATGGTGCACACGGTAAAAAGAAACAAATAACGCTGACAAGTACTTTTTGCATTTCCGAACATTAAAATAAGATTTAAAGCGATGTGACTCTACTGTGAGAAAACACAGAAGAAAATAAAACATGACCACTTTTTAAAATATATTTATGTTTTGTATTGTGTGTTGAGACCTCACCAGTTTTCATAATCCATGAATTTTCAGAACTGCTAGGGACCCACAGAGAAATGCTCAAGTGGCAGCCAATTTCTTTGGAAATATCTTTTCTCAGTAAGCAAGTCACAAAGCTGCTATTGCTGATAAGAAGTAGCCTGATCTATCAAACCTCCTAGCAGTAAAACCAAGTTTTCCCTTCCTCCTCTTTTCCAGAGGTTTAAAATCCTTTGATCTCAGAGCTAGAGAGATGTTTACTACTTTTCCCAGGTAGCCGATTTCTCCCCTACTCTTTCCTATGCCTGAAGTGGTGTCTGTGGCCAATGACTGCCCCAGCAGCTGACCAGTGAGGTTGGGTCTGCTCTCCAAGAGTCCCCATGCTGCTCATGTCTTCTCGTGTTGTCCCTGTTCTTACTTGTTTCCACTGCTTCTCAGGTGTCACTGCCTTTTTCCCTTCTTTATCATTGCAACTCCAAAGCTCTGAGACCCCAATTTCACAGGTGGCTTCTAAGGATGTGAGGGGACATCAATGGAATATTCTTATCTGCGGTTCTCTTGCGCAAGTACCTCAAATGATGATAGCAAAAAATGAGTTTGAGTATAGGCTTCACTGTGAGGTCAGTATCTAATAACATTTCTCCTAGTTTTAGTGACACTGACAATGTCAAAGCCCAAAATTCAAGGACTGACAAATGCCTCCTGGTTTTGAAGCAAGATTCTTTCCCTTCATACACACACTGTTGCCTTCTTTCACAGACTGAAATAAAAGTTTTTGAAATAGGCTTTTGTGGTGATGGGAGAACGTATCTAATGACTCCAACTACAAAAAAAGATTGATATATACCTAGACCAATAAAAATGAACACCTCTGCAATTAACAAAAGAAATGTAGACACACCTTATGTCAATAGAGAATAGAACAGAAATTAAATTTAGCTATTTGAATATCATTAGAATTAAGATAAACTGAAAACACCCTGCTGGGATAGTGGTTAAATAAATACCATCTACTTGGGATTTTTCTTCCTGAAAAATGTCATCTCTTTAGTACCATCAACAGAAATTAAAATATAATTCCAAGGCTATAATACCATGGATGATGCTCTGTGAAAAGAAAGATGATCAAGTATTTAGCAATACATGTAAACCTTACTTCTGTGCTTTACACAAAGTACAATCCAGTGAAGAATAACCTTGCAAAACAGCAATGTCAGTCCTCACAGAGGAAATTGAGTAGGATGCAAGGACTGGCACCTAATTTTCACCAGCTTTTCAACAGACTCCAAAATGTTTTGAAGTATTACACATATGATTTTCTCAACTGAAAAGGAAGTGAGCTTCTGAACTTCTTACTGTCTCATCCCTTGCCCTCTCATCACTTCTGTATGTCTCAGATGTGGTTGCTGAAAGATTGCTTGTGCCTATATTTAGATAGCTGTGAAGATCAAATGGTCTAAATGCTCTGAAAAGTGTCTTGCTTGGGTCTTTATCTAGTAATCTGGCAATTGGGACAAAATCATCTTCCAATTTAGAACTCAAAATGTTACGATCTGGTTCTCAGAATTATTAAAAGTATACAACTGTCACTAAAAAAAAATATAGTTTAAAAGGTTATGGAGCAGGAGGGGTGGTGTCCCTTTATAATATGTTATCAGATCTGGCTTCCTCTCACTTCAGAGTGTACTAAACACATCCTTCATCTTTAAAAAAAAGTTCATAAAATCAGAGGGAAGAAAAAAGCATCCTTCAAAAGTTTCACAGTTCTTTTCTCATGGCATCACTTGAAAGAGTGTTTTGGTTTCAGAAGAGATGATATTATTCCCTAAAAATATGACTTCAACTCCTACACTACCATAAATAGGCAGCTCCCATTGGGTAATATGAACACAAGAAAAAAACCCAGTTTCGTTTAACATTTTATACATTCCTTAAGATTTCTCAGTATATCATTTTCTCTATAAACTTCCATTACATGTGAATTACGTGATATTAATATGAAATTTCAATATAGAAAAAATTATTCTGTTATCCTTCAGAGACTGTTACCTTTGAGATTTCTCTCTCACAAATGCTTTTTAAGGCCACTGTTAATGGCCTTAAGGGTATTCTAAATAATTTCGTTTAAGGTAATCCATTTTTTGTTCTCTTCTGTTCTATTACAATCTCAAATTTCCATGGGGATTGCCTTGGGTATATCAAGACATATTTCTCCATCAGTGCTGCAGAGGACTGTCACTTGCTACTGCTATTACATGTTTCTTTGCTAAGTTATAACTTGAAAATCAACATGGAATTGCTGAGATTAACATGGGAAAGTTGTTATAAAGAAGCTCAGCTTAGTAGAAAGTTGTCTAGAACTTGTCTTGTTGGTTCAACTGAAGTAAATATTACTGATTTTTAGAGGGGCATTACTTCAGAAAAGTCTCTAACTAGAACAACCCATTAATTCCGACCCAAAGCCACTAATTAAACTCCTGTTTAAAAGAAATTTACTTTATTTTTGGATAACATTTTACTCAAAAGGATATTCACCAAAAAAAAGTACAACAGAAAGTCATATTGGTAGATCTTAATAAAATAAAGCATGCACATAATATCTATGTGCAGGATTAAAGCCTACATCACTGTAGTTGAGAAGTTTATGTTTCATTTCAAGCAATAATGTAACAGTTGTGTTTTGCCACCTCTTCAGTCTACACAAGTATGCTATTTAAATCAGGTTTTTACATTAAGCTACAAACTGTACAAGAGACTGTTCAAAAGCTTAATATGCAAAACTCAGTTTGATGCATTTGCTCCTCCTGGAAAAAATAAAAACAAACAAACAACAGAATAATGCATATGCCAATGAGAATTTTATCAAAAATGTATTGTAAGAACTTTTATTCCAAGATTTATCTACAAAGCACATTATAGAGTGACTTTTCTCAAACTGGAGGTCAAAATTGGCTACAATCACAAAATCATTACTACTTTTGGTATCATACAGCTGGATTTTTGGAGATACCACTACAAGAACAAAATCACATGTGCAACTTAAACACAAAGAGTTTCACTGTTGTTTAAAAAAGAAAAAAAAATCTAAATCTCAGAGGTACCTATTCACTTGTATGTATGCTTAAACTTATCCCAACTAAAATTCTGACATCAACAATCGCTATTATCCATGTTATTGTTTCAGATCTGCTTGAAGCTAGATTGCAGACAATGTATGTTTATCATTCAGAACTAGTTTCACTAAAATTCCCATGCAAACACTGGTAGCTGTAAAGCTACCATTGAAAATATGCCAGAAATTGCAAGGAGTAAGGTGATAAGCAGAATTTAAGGAAAAAAAACAAATTAAAACACTTGAACACAGACCCAAAGAGGTAGAAAGATTTCAACATTCCATTTCCTAGACACTAGTTCAGTATTTGCAGCAAAACCATTTTTACTTGCAAGTCAAGCAAACTGCAGAGAAGACAAGGTTTATTCTCAGACTTTACCAATTAGCTGTTTCAAGTCTGAAGGTAATGTTTTGTGCAAGCTTGGCTCCATGGGCTTCTATGTTTTCTAACTTTAGTTACTAACTTTTAGTAACAGCCCATGGCCTCGGCCAGCACAAAAGACTCAGTTTACAGGAAAAATCAGACACTTCTAAAAGTAGTAACAACTAAGTTAAAAAGGAAAACATTTCATAAACGGCTTTGTAATCTGAGCCCAGACTTTGATTTATGTTGTCCATCTCACCTGTTTTGGTCTTCTCAGAATCCAGTTTGGAGGGCCCTGCACATGTAATCTAAGGTATATTGGCAGTGAAGGCAGATTTTGATAGAGATGAGGATATGTGAGGAGAAAAAGATTAATGACAGCAGAGAATCAAGTCTTATTGAATCTAATTTGGAATTTTTGATAAAACCAGCTGAAATCCAGCTGAAATCTAGTTTCAAGTATATCTGAAACAATAGCATGGATATGGCCAATATTGACGTCAGAATTTTAGCTGGGATGTTTAAGCAAATCTAAAAACATAAAGATATATTGTTCAAAGTACTTTTTAAATTCTGAATACTTAGTGGTGTTACATTAGCTTCCCTCATGTGACTTAAGTGTTCAAAAGAAAAAAACAAATAGAGACGCACACAAATATTTTTACTTTACCAATTAATTCCAATATTTTTTTAAAGTCCTGTGAAGAAAACCTTGTAACACAAAGGTTACTGCTACAATACAAAATATAAGAGACATGGGACTCGCCTTAGCAACCAAGCAGCAGAGCACAGCTTAGTACATACCTACATGGCTCACTGTCCTCTGCTCAAAATATCCCAGAACAGCCCCAGCCCAGCTCCATGCTGGAAACAGCTCACAAGAACTGTGCCCAGCTGGAAGAGTGCTAGTTGGCAGGAGCCAAACATGCTGACAAGCAGTGTAAGCACCGCTCCTCCAAGGCCATTCCTTTCTTTAGCAGCAAAGGCAGAATTGAAGATTCTTTGCAGCACTCAGTATTAGTGCAAGACTCTAGATAACACTAATACAATCCATGCAATGAGTTGAGAATAATGTCCATTAGCAGCTTATTCATCTACTTACTGTCTCAAAGCTACTTGATGTTTAAAAAAATGCAGCAAATTACATATTACTAGTTTTATTAGATGTTCTTTTGGCGCAGTCAAAACCCAGATGATGATGTATTTTAAATTTTAAATGCACTTATTTCATGGAGAGTCTTTTAATATTTTCACTTTTAATCAGTCATTCTATATTATTCGCTCCAGATGGATTTTTTAAAATTCATAATTAGCATGAAATAAGCTCTCCATAACTGAATAGAATATCACTGAAAATTGAAGTTCAGTGGGAGAGATTTTAAGAATGAGCAGTGAACTCAGAGGACTGGCATTGCATTATTTCTGACAGTCTCCCACACTAAGTCTGGGACACTGCTATAGGTCAGGCATCCACTTAATTAGGAATTAAACAAAGGAGGGAAAGGGGACAAGAGGGCAGGTGACAAACTGAAAGCTCGCAAAATCTCCATAAGCAGAAAATTTTGGTCAACAAGATTCTCTTGCCATCCTCTGCTAAGATGACTTTGATGTCTTATTGCTGAGTATTCACATTTAAAGCAGCAGTGGGAAGAAGATCAATAAAAAGCAAACCAGTCACAGAAAAGCTGAATATTTTCCTTTTTATTTTTTTTCTCCCATGAAGAGCAGCCATTTGAAAATACTAAACATCACTGGCAGCAGTAACTTTTAGCATGTCACAAGAAGGTCAATATGGTACTTACTTTGTAATTCTTTGGGTAATAGATGAGACATGTTGAAGCAGCTTTTGGTTCATTTGCTATTATCCTCATTATGGCTTTATCTGGCATGAGGGATCAGTATTTCTGAGCATTACACTACTCCTGTACAGACAGAAGGACATATTGTTTATTTGGCTGCCTACTGATTTCTGACACAAGAAGCTATCAATTATATTGTGGTATGAAAACCAGTGCCAACTAAAAGGACTCCTAACAGAGCACCATGATGTGGTTACTTATGAGCTGATTATTCAGCAGCAATCAAAACATTAAACCTAGAGAATATTTAATCTGAGGCTGGCTCTGTGGCAATCTCTGCTTCTTTTAACCTTGCAGGCTTACTTGTCACTGACTTAAAATATTCTTTTGTGAGGTGGTGCAGGATTCCCCACAATCTACTTGATTTCAGCTGCCAACAGCTAAAGCCTTTGGCTAAAATTACCCATTTAAGCAAATACAAGAGCAAGGCAGGAGATGCAATTACATTACTTTCCTATCGTTAGTTATGTTCTTGCCCAGTGTGTCCATTATTGTCTAGAAGATTTTGCAAGCACCATTACCCTAGATCCTTTAAAATTCGCCTGTGATGCAAGGTTAAATATCTCAACTGCATTAAATGTAATTTCAAACAATCTCATCATTATTACACATGCATCACTATTACAGACACTCAACTGTGCATCTATGGTTGAAATTAAGTTTTGGCTTCACAGCAAATATCAGGTGCAGAAATCTGATTCAAGTCCAAAAATGTCTGCTGGGATCATCTGGATCCCTTTTTCCAGTCAGGAGCAGACATCACAATTCATTAAAAGGAAAGGATGTTTTGCAAATATGTGCTACCCCTTGCAATGAAAACCATGTTCACTCACCAGCTGAAACAGACAGAATATTCTGAAGTGACTTGAAAGAAACCCTAATGTACATAAGGCAAAAGAAAAGAGACAGGATGAAGCAGCCTAATACATGTGATATACTTTTAGGAGTGAGACCATCTGTATTGCAGTACTTCCCTTAATATCAAGACTTTCCTCTGCATTTCTTGTGACATTTGAAGATCTTTTAATATATTTATGATATATAATGAGCCACATCTCATGCATTCTAAAATATGTTACAAAGGCCAATTAAGGCTTCCTACATATGGAAAAAATGTAAAATTTAATTAAGACATCTGTCTTTAGAGTAAAGAAATAGCAATAAGGAGTCAATACAATGGACATCACCTGTTTTGTTTCTTAGCTTGAAACTATTATCCACCCAAAATGGGACAGACAGAACCACAGAAAGCCCTCATGATGGAGTAATAAATTACTTCTGCCCTATAGAGGATGCTAAGAGATAAAAGCTTTAGATCAGGATGAAACACACTGAGTTTGAGATGGGAAAAGGCAGAGTATGAGAATAAGGATGGAAAAAGTCTCCAGCACTGTAAAGAAACTAAGGCATTTCTGAGTGGAACAGGAAGGAAACACAGCCCAATCCTTCCTGGTGGACTACATGCCTGAGGAACATACAGGCTTTGCTGGAACACAGAAGACATTAAACCTTGCAGGCAAGTCCAGACACAGGAGACAGGACAGACAGACTATTATATATAAAAGGTTTTTTGTTGTTTTTTCCTAACCTTTTATTTTAAAGTTAACTACCAAATTTTTCCTCCCAGTAAAACCATTCCTAAAATTTATATATAGAGTCATGCAATCCAGGTTGGAAGAGCCACAGGTAGGTTTAGGGAATACTCACTGTAAGGAAAAATAAACCCAGCTCACTTCAAAGCATAAATGTGAATTCTCAGTCAGAATAAAAATGAAACAACATAACCATAAGAGTCAGATGCTTTAACTTGATGCTTGATTCAGATGAGCTAAACTCAAACTCACTAACTTGGCTTACCAGATAGCTTGGAGGAAAACTCTTATTAAAGAAGTATCAGAATCATTAGGTCCTGAACTTAATGCTTAAAGTCATTTTTCTTGTAAAAGCAATAAACACAGTTATTAGGCAAGGTTTCGTTATTCTTGGGATAAACTTGTTTTCCTCCTCTAATAGCATCATACCAGAAATTTTTATCACCTATTACCTATTGTGTCAGTCATACATAATTCATTGCAAGCCTTCCTGTTTCTGTCTGAGAGCTCTGTTTGGCTGTGACTCTGACCAAACCGAGCAGAAGAGTGGGCAAGGATCCACTGTTGTTTCAGTGTAACTTTACAGTGTAGAAGCAGATGCATGGCTGTACTATACAAAAGCTTTCTTTTACAGAATCTTTTTGCTGGAACACATTCACAATTTTGGCTCAAGCTGTCAGATTTATTCTTTCAACAATCAAGGCATTCTTTTGGAAAAGTTAAAGAAAACTGGTTAAGGGGTTTTTGAATTAAAAGCATAGAATTACAATGCTTTGCAAGTTTAAACTTTTTACACATAAATAAAAATCAAGTATTATCAAAACATGCATAAATTTTTGAATGGAGCTTCAAAGCAGAAAACAAGGGGTGCAGGGACAATTTAATATAAAGACATTGCTCCTTGTAACATAGCAGAATTCAGCACTCAGAAAAAGAGAGGAATCTTCCTAATTAATTTATGGGGCAAATTTTCCACAGATATGCTTTCTGCCGCAATCACCATCATCAATGTTATTCTACACTATTCAAAAATAATATTTTACCATGGCTTGCTTGCTGTTAGCCCCTATGTGATAAAAAGAGAAAAAATAAGCAGCTACAGAAATGCACAGGAGCAACCTTCACTCCCATTCTTTTGTCAACACAGTGACAGCTAACCAGGTGCAAAAACCTCATTGCAAACTGTTACATCTGCATGTCTTGGAATCACAGCAGGAGTTTCTGTTAGGGTGATAACTGTCCAAGACACAGATTTCAGAATATTCTTCTGTCATATTGCTTATTTTAGACAGCAATTAACAGAGCTGCCAAACAAGTTCAAATATGCATCCCTTGAATGAACAAGTGCAAACTTTGGGTTTTGCTAGCTTCTAATAAGGTTATTGCAAACAACAACAAAAACAACAACAGAAAAAAAAATAAAACAGCCCACTTGTGAACCTCTCAACAATTGATTTTTCTTAGCTTGGGAGCTACCAGGAGTACTCCAAACTACATAGATACTAATTTTGCTGTCCTATTTTCTTGTCTGAAGTACTTGTTTAGTACTTCAGAGTGCTTCTTTCTCAGGGTATTTATGGACTAAGACAAAATACATTGCAAGAGTAGCAAAACATGTTTGTTGGTGACTAAAATAAACAAATACTCTCCAAAGTGCAGAAGCACCATGCCTGTTTCTGTAGAGATCAGCTAGGTTTTACAGATCTGCTAATTGTTTCCATCAGACTTTCACTTCTGGTTGCCACAGCCTTCCATTGATAGAGCCTTATTCTGTGGATTTCATTCATTCCTTTTTTCCCTGTCTCATATCTTAAGGACAGAAGAAGCAGAGTAGCTGGGACATTAATGGAGCGCTAAATAGAACAGCAGGAAGGTAAATGGAGCCACAGTCAACAAAGAACAAAAAGATGAGAAGAAAAACCCTGGAGAACCACTTCTTGTTCCTAGCACTGAACCACATGAAGGTAACCACAAAAGTACTCATTTATTACAACCCACATGGCAAGCTGGATGTAGGTGCTGCTGGAGAGCAATCTCTTCAGATTTGGTAAAGATGGTCTAGACCAAAGGCATCAATATATTCTAACTAAACTTTAAAATGTGCTTAGGATGATCTGGAACCAGGAAGAAAAATCATCATCCACACTTATTTCACAGTCTCTATCCAAATATGTAAAATCTCTCCTGTTTCTCTTTTCCCGAAATGGGAATTAATGACTGTTTCAAGGGACAAAACATGACAAAATAATAAAGCCAAATAAATAACTTGCAACAAATGATGCATCCAATTCACTTGCAATGAAGACTTTGTTTTATATATATATATATATATATATATATTTATAAAGTCATTTTAACAGCAATGACAACAGCATCAAAATAAGCAGTTGTAGATGGGTTCTCCCTCATTTAGCTGTAACAATAGATTCTGACTTTTTGATATTTTCTGAAAATTTTCAAAACCAGTAGGTCAGTGTGGCATACTTTTATAATTCTCTTTGGACTTTATGTCAAAGTTGAGGGTTTTAATAATAAAATAAACAAAAATAAACACAAGGCTTACAACTACAACTTTTAACTTTCTACATACAGTTGTTACAGTAATTTTTTTATACATCATTACGTATGTACATCTCTAGATCTAGATGCCACCAACACATCTCATATCTCTTCTTTCACCATTTTCACTGATGCCTTCCTGCTGAAGCATTTCCATTTGTTCTTTCTTTATACCACCACTAACATTTATATTGCATATTTGTATTGTCCTTTCACCTGAAATGTAGTCTAACATAATTTCTGCTTCAATCATATAAGTCTACTGAGAACCAATGCCGTTCTTTCCAGACTAAAGCCTTGAAAGAAAAAATAAAGTACATCATGAGATATCTAGAGACTTTCACTTCCTCAGAGTGGTACTAAATATATCTGCAGTTCTTAATAAAATAACCTCATTCAAGATCAACTTTGTAAACTATAATAAATGAAGGGCAGTAGTTGGCATACAGGAAGGCAGAGATGTTTTTTGGAGACCCTCAAAACACCTAGATGCTAAAAAATGACTCTACAGAAACCTCATGAAGTTTTACAAATACAGAATCCTACATCTAGAGGCAATAAAACAGGCTGAGGAGCAGCATTGCAGAAAAGGACCTCGGAGACTTGGTGGACAAAATGTTGAACACGTGCTTACATGGCTTTGCAGCAAAGTCACACTCAACTGCCTTAGGAAGAACATATCCAGTCAATGGAATTCCTCCCCATTCAGACTGCATTTGGAGCACTGTGCCCACACATGGAGTTTCAGTCAAGGAAATCAGTGCATTCTTTGCAGGCCCAGGGCACACCCTAGTAGAAAGCATCTCTGAAGATGTGTGGAGTCAGCCTCTTCTCAAAGGTGCACAGAGACAGAATGAGAGGCAAAACACAAACTGACAAGGAAAATCCCAATCAGGATTCAGGTAAAAACTT